GGTGCAGCCGGGTGTGTAGCAACGTTGCTCCACGATGCAGCCATGAACCCTGCCGAAGGTAACGATGGTCCTGGCCTGCCGGGGAGGGGAGGATCGGGGGCTGCCCGTGCCGCTCGGGTCCTCTCTGCGGCATGGAGGGTGCTGTCCTCATTGCTCGCCCGACTGCAAGGATCCTTTGGGGGCCAGTGGCTGCAGCTCCGGTTTGGGAGCCCAGTGGCTGCCCGTTATGGAGGGGGATAGGTGGAAGAGATTAATTCTGAGGAGTGCAGCAAAACCCAGTTTAGGAGGAGCTGGGAGGGCACTGGCTTTTCACCCAGGGGTTCGGCTGGAGGCGGTTACCTGGAGCAGGAGGGAAGGCAAGAGAGATGTGATCCGTACTGCTGAAGTTATTCCAAGTGTGTGGAAATTGGACATTGCTGTGGTGAGAACTCAGGAGGATATGGCACAGCTCTGGGCCTGTGTTCAAGAGGAAAATGACAACAATGGGGTACAAAACACATGGCAGAGAGGTCAGGAGAAGGGAGATCTTGTGTTGTGGGATGTCTAGAAGATGCTGATTTTGTTGAGCCTGGTATGTACGAAAAAGGCAGAGGGAGTTTGTGATTGAAGTCTGTGAACGTGGTGGGAGAAGGAGGAATAACGAGGAAAAGCCAGTCGTGAACGTATTTTTCTCCTCTTAAAACCAGAAGGCATGTGATGGTACAGGCTCCAGCTGATCTGGGCCCAGCAAGCCTCCTGCCTTCCCGCTGCCTGGCTGGGAGCCTGAGGAGCAGGAACTGTGTGGCCAGGCCCTTGTCGTTCCTTCCCTGGAGCTCATTGTATCATAACTCATAGCTTGTACTCGCGTCATTCTTAGCTCCTTGTGGTCACGTTGAAATCGGGAGAGGCGGGACAGTGGCAAGCTGCGCTCTGCGCTCCCCTGCCCAGCTCTGGGCAGTGCTGGGGTGGGGGGTTTGGCATCTGGTTCTTGCCCTGGAGGCGCTGTGTTTCGGCAGCAGCCGCTAACAATTCCTGGCTGGTGGGCTCTGCCATGCGCTGTGGTTATTCTGGGTTGCAGCGGCAGCAGCTGGCGAGGAACAGGCTTGTCCAGATCGAGAGCTGTTGGAAAATAATCGATGCAGGGGGGGGGTTCTCCTGCCTGCATGGTAGCTCTGCGGCGGTGGATGGGGAGATGTTGGTCGTTTGGGAGCAAGGATGGATCCAGAGTAAAAGCGTTGGGGTATCGGGATGTTCCCTGGGGCTGCGGCAGCTGTGGGGTTTGCAGGTGGAGACGTCTGTGCGATGGTGATGCCTCGGCAGATCTAAACGGCTGCAGTCCTGCCTGGGGACATGCAGGGCACTGCTGGTCCCAGTTGCCCATCATTAGCTCTTAAGCCACTGTGACCAAACTCCGGGCACTTGGAAGGAGCCTCGCATCACGCTTACCTTTTCTCTCTCCTCTCCCCCTCCACGCCTGGGTCCTGGCTGCTGCTGCTGGCTGCTGCCGTCTGTCCCAAGTGGTCAAACAGAGGATGCAGATGTACAACTCGCCTTACCAGCGTGTGACGGACTGTGTGCGGGCTGTGTGGCGCAACGAAGGGGCCGGAGCTTTCTACCGCAGCTACACCACCCAGCTCACCATGAACATCCCCTTCCAAGCCATTCACTTCATGACCTACGAGTTCTTGCAAGAGCAGCTCAACCCCCACAGACAGTACAACCCAGGCTCCCACGTGGTCTCCGGAGCCTGCGCAGGGGCTGCTGCTGCCGCTGCCACTACGCCTTTGGACGTTTGCAAAACACTGCTCAACACCCAGGAGTCCCTGGCCTTGAGCTCCAACATCAGCGGACACATCACAGGCATGGCCAATGCCTTCAGGACGGTGTACCAAGTGGGCGGTGTGACCGCCTACTTCAGAGGGGTCCAGGCGAGAGTCATTTATCAGATGCCCTCAACGGCGATCGCCTGGTCCGTGTACGAGTTCTTCAAATACATCCTCACCAAGCGCCAGGAGGAGCGGCGGGCTGGGAAGTGAGCCAGAGCCGAACGCCCTTCCAGACCTGCTTCACCTCCCCTCCTGGTTTGTCTTCTGACCCTTCTCCCTTTCGGTTTGGTTTGTGTTGAAGAGAGGGGGCAGCGAAGCCCTTCGGGCTTTAGCGATGCAGGTTTTTTTGCCTGTGGCTGCTGCAGCTCTGCTCGGGCTGCACGGCTTGCTCTCTCCCAGGCTCCTCTGTGATGTCCCGCTGGGAGCTGCAGCCCAGGTCACGTCCCCTGGCACTTCGGTGGAGCTGTGCTCCTGTCCTTCCCTTAACCAAAACCTCCTCACGCAAAGCTCGCCCCTCCTTGGAGGGGAAGGTGAATGTTCTGCCCTCCCACTGGCAGGGCCAAGCTGAGCTCGCAGTCGCCAGGGAGGGGGCGGCAGCGCTGCCCGGGATGCTGGGGGCTTTGTCTGGCTTTTGGCTGAAGCGAAGTGTAAGCCTTGCCGTTGTCTTGTAGCACGCACACGTGATGCTGACTGCCCTGGTGGTGGCGGGGGGGGAGGACGGCACTTGAGGAGGGGAGCCTGTAGGTTTGTTATTGTTCCTGCTCTTGACACCTCCAATAAAAACAGTTCTGCTCTGTCCTCATGTCCCCTTCTTACTCCCGCAGGGCCCAGCTCCCGGCACTGCTCCTTTCTGACTGTGCCCAGTGCTGAGCTCTTTAGATGGGTGCCAGGGAGGAAGGGAAATGGGGTCTGGGGGGTGGTGGTGTGAGGAGGGGGGCCTGCCTGGCCCTGCCACCCTGGCAATGTGCAGGGAGGAGGGTGGTCTCCATCCCCCTTTGGCTCGTGGCCCAGCCCATCGCCTGCCGCTGGCGTGGGCCATGATCCCACTGGCAAAGCTGAGGTTTATGCTCCTTGGCCAGGCAGTCCTGCAGCCCCGGTCTGATCTGGGTTCCTTGGGATGCCTCCAGAACACTCCAAGTGGAGGTGATGGCAGGAGGGCCCTGGGTTGTGTGTGTTGGGGACAGCACAGGAATTTCGGCACTGGGTGAGGTTGGAGGGCTTTGTGCACCTCACAAGGAGATTTGGGGCTCAGCAGGGCTTTTGCATCCTCATTTTGAGTAATTAAACTAGTTTGTGCCTTGTTTGGCATCTTAAAACTCTACTAATGGATTTAAAATGCTAATATTTTGTCTAATCTAATGATAATTAATAGAATAGCTTATTTTTTTTACCATTTTGTTAGCTGGCTCAGTAGCGACTTCTTTTAGGGTCCCACCAAGCTCAGGACCTGCGAGCCAACTTGGCAGGTCGTGTGTTGAGCACCGAAGAATCACTGCGTTGCGCTGACTTTCCCAGAGCAGAGCTCTGGGTTCCTCAAGCCGGGTGCCTGTGGGTGATACCTGGCTCTCGCGGGATGCTCCTGTAGTGCCTGACGGAGCAGCGTCCATCCCACGGTGCCATGCCCAGAATATCTCCCCAGAGGAAATGCCTTCACAGCCCTGGTATGTGCTGCCGGCGAGCATCTGGGTCGGCTGGGGGCTGCTCCAGACGATCTGCTGACTTGGCCTTGCCAGCATGGAGGGCTGCTAGGGTGGGCTGTGGTGACAGGAAAGGGGTTGTTCTGCAGCTGGAAAGGCTGCTGGGGGAGCAGGGGGGGATGCACAGCCCTCTGGGGGCTCCAGCACTGCCGAGAGGCTGGAGGGCAGGGACCCCCGCACTGCAGGGCTGGGTACCTGACACCCTGCCCAAGCCCTGTCCCAGCCCCAGTTCCACCTTTCTCTTAAGCATCTCTCTTGTCCCTGGTTCTTGAGGGGGGGGTGATTGAGGACTGCCGATGGGAATTTTGACAGCTGCTCGGCAGGTCTGGGTGTCCCTGGGCACAGAGCAGCCACGGACACTGCTCTGCAGCTTGGGTCCGCCTGGGTTGCGAGCTGTGCCCATCTTCTGCTCCCTGGCATGAGCTGCAGGCTCCTGGTCCCTGCTTTTTCTGCACAAGCAGGAGGACGAGAAGCTCCTTAAAGAAGTAAAAGCTGCCAGAAGCCAGGAGCCTCCAGTGTTCCCACCATTTCAGGAGCTGGGGCTTTAAGACGGAGCCTGAGTATTGCAAGATTTGGCAGCCCTGCAGTTCCTCCACCCAAGAGGGAGAAATCCAAGAAGCAGAAATGGCAGGGAGAGACCAGGGGAGGATTAGCTCGGCGGGCAGGGCATTAGACGGGAGTTTGCGGAAGAAGGGTATGACTGGGCTCTGCAGGATGGGTCTCCCTGCCCAGAAGCCAAAAGCCATTGGCAACGAAGCTGCAGCTTCGCCTTTAGCCCTCACCACGCACCCAGGCAATGGCAAACCCTGTGGAGGGGAAGGCATAAACACAGGCTGGGACCGGGGAGAGATTCACACTATTAAATCCATCAGTCGCTGGGAGAAGCTCTATAAATGTCAGCGGGTGAAGGCATGATTGAAGGTGACTCCAGGATGTTTCCAGGAATAACTGCCCACAGAAGTGCTGGGGGAGGGAGCGAGACCCCCGGCAACGGAGATGATAAGTCAGCCCAGCACAGAGATGCTGCTATGTGAGCAGTTGGCCTGGGTGCTCCCCTGGCAAGGGCACAGCCTTGCTGGTCTGCCGGCGCTTTGCCAGCTTGCCCCGCAGCAGCTGGCCGTTGCCCAGTGCAGGCAGCAACAGCCTGCGAGGGGTCTGTGCTGCAGGGACAGCAGAGCCACCCAAGGGGTTTTTCCAGATAGCCCTTGGGCCAGGCCACGAAAGACTGGAACACCCCCCCCCGTTCTGCTGCCATCTCCATCCCCAGAGCTGAACCTCTGCCACAGCCCAAGGGCTGCCTGTGGCTGCTCCCCAGCTCTGCCGGGGTGAGGTGTCCCCTCACCAGCCAGCCTGGTTCCTCTGGTGCCTTTGACATGATGAGATGCCAAGAGATAACAGGGTTATTGGCTGGTTCTGCTATGGTCGCTGCCTTTCCAAGGTCTGATGATGCCTCGGTGAAGCCATGCCGCTCTGGGTCTGTCCTACAGCCTCCTAGGTATTTGGCTGCACTTCGGGTGAGATCCCTCCTACAGCCTCTTCTGAGTAAAGAGACTATTTTTGGCTTTCCAGCAAGGAAGCCATGCTCAGCCTGGCAGAGTTTGGAGACAGCCCTTTTTCTTTTCACCTCCCTGCAGGATCCCTGGCCACATCCAGCACAGGCAGGGATTTACTGCCTTGCCTTCCCGCGTCCGACTGCCCCTCCAGCTCTGTTCTGCCTCTGGTGCCGGGATGGGGGTCCCGGGTGGGGGCAAACCCCGCAGCCCCCGAGCAGGCAGAGCTGGGCAGTGCTGCTGGCCTTGCCCTGCTCTGGGTGACAAATCCGGGGATGCCGCAGATCTACCGTGGCAGGAGCCCAAGCTATTTCAGGCAGCCCGAGTTTGCCATGCCAGGAGCAGCTCAGGAACCCCTGGCTGCCTTCCTCGGGTAACTGGAGACACTTGCACTCCTGCAGGTTAAGAGTAGGGCTGGGGGTGAGGGGAGCTGGGGGGAATTCATCGCCCCAGAGCAAGAAAGGGAGACCCCTCCAGCATGTCTGCCTTGTATGTTTGGCCAGGGGCTGGTGGGCTCCTGCCTCAGGGACCCCACACAGGGTGCTGGGTCCCAGCCCACAGGGGCCTTTGCCAGCCCGGCTCAGGGACAGGTGAGGGGGCAATGGCACTCTCCTGTCAAACTGCATCCCTGCCCCTCCTCTGCCAGCACAAGGGGCTACCCTGAGCTCTCCTGCCCCCCAGCCCCTCTGCAGCGGGTGCCAGACAGCCCTGCTCGGTGGGAGGAGGTGGCTGGGACCCACAGGGAGCATGGAGGTGGGCTCCCAGCCTCCCTCCAGCCCCAACCCACCCCGGCTCTGGGATTCCTCAGGACTCTGTCAGACCCCAATAAAGTCGTACAAGTTCTCATGACCCCACGGCCTTACAGCGGTGGTAAATGCGGGCGCCAGGGCTGCCTGGACACAGAGCAGACATTGCCTCTGGTGGGCCCTGGGAAACTCTCTTCTGACCCACGTTGCTGCCTGGGTTAAACTACTGAGAGACAACCCCTGGCTGGGCTGGTCCCAGCCTGCTTGGCTCCAGCTGAGCAATCCAGTGGCGCAGGGAGGCAGGGGATATAGCCCAAAAGGTAAAACCAAGGCTGAAAACCTGCTTTCTTGGCTGTAAAAGGCCACCAGAGGAGGCAGTCCCCCAGGGCTGTGACTGTGCTCTGCGTGTCTGGTTTCACGGGGAGATATTGGTAATACCCATAGTTAGCACAGGGCTATGTGTCAAAGTCTCCCAGCAAAGGGCTGCGAAGTGGCTCTGGGAAGATGGTGCCTGGCTGGAGCTGGGGCACGGGCAGCCAGCGTGTCACACTGGGGAGACAGCAGAGCTGGGAGAAGACCCGTTCCTGGGCTGGATGGGGGTGGCACAGGGGTGGCAGCAGGGGACACTCTCCCAAGGGCACACGGGTGAAGACAGTGGGGACAGCTCAAGTGCACCGTGATCCTGCGCCAGGATCAGTCTCACAAGCAGCTGAAGCAAGGGCTGTTCCAGGAGATGGGGGGGGACCTCCAGCCCTAATCACCCCGGGGCCAGCACACCTGCGGGTTCTGCACTGCTGGCATTACTGCCCCCAGAGAAACCCTGCAATCCCCCCGGGGCACCTATGGCACACAAGTTGATACAAGAGCCTCCGGGCAAGTCACAGACTGTACCTAGGAGGGTGCCAGGAGAAATGCAAACCCAAAGCAGCCTTCTCCTCTATCTCCAGCACCTTTGGGTGCCCATTAGACCTGGGCAGTATGCTGCCCGGAGCATTGCCAAGGGCTATAGAAAGGGGAAGGACCAGGGAATTGGGCCAAAATTGGGCTGTGCCTCCAGCAGGGACACAGCTCCCTCTGCTGAGGATGCAGCTATAACGGGCAGCACAGCCATCATAACTGTCCTTGGGCAAGGACTTGCCGGGGGTAGCTGGAGGCTGCGGGCAGTGCCAGGGCATCGGGAGCTTTGGGATGGTGGGGGAGCAGATCCCGGCGCTGAGTGAACTGCACCACTTTGGGACAAAGATAATCAGAGCTAAAAACCTGCTGGGTCTCTCACAAAGACGTGCTGCATGCTTGTGCTTGGCTAAAAAAAAAAAAAAAAAAAAAAAAACACAAGAAAGCAAAACATTGCTCACTAGAAAGGGACCTGCAGGGTGGCTAGAGGCCAGGAGGGGATGCTGGCCCTGTCCCCAGCTCTCGCACTGCAGTGGGGGCATGTGTGGGTACTTTCCTTTCGCTGTGTGTAGAAGCCCCAGCGATGCTGCCCACTGCAGCGAAGCTCCTGCGTGCGTCAGGAGACCCCCAGCTCCCGCCGAGCTCAGCCCTGGGGAGACACCCGCCTGCCCAGAGCCAACGCAACCAGCCCAGCTTCCCCGATGTCCCACTGCCGTCCCCAGTGCCGGGGACGCGATGCCCAACGCGGGGAGGCTGCCCTGCCCGCCGGCTCTGCAGCCCTCCAAGCCTTGCAAGGGGGACACGGGCATCCCCAAACCCCACCAACACCAGATGCAGAGTCCCTGCGGCATGGGGTGGTGGGGACAGAGGGGTACCTGTCGCTCCCTGTCCCCGCGTGCTTGCCGATA